CGTTCTAATTTCGTGGGCCGACACGTGCCCGGATGGAAACAGATGTACCTCGGGCTGGCATGGCGCGTCGTATGTATAAATACATCGGTGTTCGGCTAACCGAGCACCCGGTCGCGCACGACGACGTATACGAGACGAGGTACGAGTATGTATCCTATCCCGTCGAGGCTGCGAGCTTTGAATCGATATAAAGTTACCATCGACGCTGCGCGGCACGGCGCGGCACGGCACGGCGCGGCGGCGGCGTGCGACTGGCGCCAGCGTGACTGCGCGATTCAACCCACTGTACAAACAATTTCAGTTATTCCGCTAGTCGCTCGCGTCGGCAACGCGAATGCGTTGCATCTGGCTGGGATATTTGATAACTATAGTTTTATTGGTATCTGCGAAATTCATTGAGCAAGTATAAATGGGTACTAATTCCTTATCCACGTTTGGAGCGATTCGTTCTAAAGAAGGTGGACTTCTAATTATAAGAAGCAATAAATGACAGCGTGTTATTAAATAAAATAGAAAGTCGGATTCTTACATCATAGGAAATTTTGTTTATCTCCGTTTACGCGATATCAGAGATAAAAGTTAGCCTTCGCTCGCACAGTTTAGCGTACGCGTCTTAGTGTCGTGCACGCGCGAATTCCTCGTTTCGAGGGGGGACGGTAGGTGAACGCTGGACGCAGATGCGCAGTGAGCGTTATCGGAAGTCTTAATTGGTTTCGGAGTCGAGGTGAGGTATGCCGTTCGCGCGCGCATCCGATAAATTTTGCGCTTTTTTCTCTCCACTCGTTTGTTGCACGGTGCGATGGGCAAAACGGCAGACGCTTTAAAACTGCGCTCGAACGAGCAGGTGATCGCGAGAGGAGTGTCGCGACGAACTAGCCGTTCCCGAGGAAACCATTCGACTCGCTGGAACGCGAGACGCACGTCAGGTGTGTCCAGTGACTGAAATTGATCTCAGTTTATATCGAAATCTCCTCAGTGAATGAGTCATTTCCTGACGATAGTTACAGATACCTAATCTCTGACTGAGACTGAAACTGAAATATCCATTTGAATCATCGACTCATTTGAGAAGTTCCGAAAGAGAAGAACTTAACAAGATTTCGATTTATGCACGGAAGTAGGCATAAAAAGTATAATTGAGATGTACTTTAATTATCCTCAATGGACTAACTACGTATTTCCCAAACATTGTTTTTGCCAATGTTCACGCTCGTAAATATAAAGTCAAGGCTAAAAGAAATCGATTTGCGTCGACTTTTAACCTTAGTTCGGCTATCGTCGATTGATCGGAACAACCCAACGGAGGAAAGAGCCGCTGCTCTGGCCGAACGCTGTCAGGTGCAAATTTTGAACGAGGAAATTTCAAAGACAAGCGTTACGACAGGTGGATGCGAGAGAGCCCGGCAGCAGCAGGTCGAAGAGAAGGTGCCGCGCCGGCATGCCTGGAAACCGGAAGGTGCTCGAACACGCGAGCATCGCGTGCGCTCGCGCTCGTTACTTCAAGAACAAGGTTGCTCTCGTCGATCGGCAACGATCGCTGATCTAGTCTTACAAGTAGCCATCAGATAAATATCACCACTGTTGATGATATTATAATTGTATCCTTAATCGGCAACATTAATCCCATTAGTGTTTGTATATAATTATAAAGATTATGGACATAAAACAGAATGTCCAGTCACTTCAATGTGTGAGGAATCTAAGTACTTGATAATACTTCATATATGCTATCACATGTTAAAGACTGATACTGATCAGATAGATTTAAGAGCATAAAGTAAATCACTGTCCGCTGGCCAAATTGAATCTCATATATTATCTAATGTAAGTTAATAATTCGCAATCAAATAGAATTGTATGGACAGAACACAAGTGATAATTAGATAGGAAATAAAGAGAAAATTGTTTCTAATTGCTTTTACTCGGATGAAACAAACATTCATGTTAACAGAACATGTTGCAAGGATACTGAATTTAATATTTAACAATCACCAAGTCGAATAAACAGATTTTTCTTATCGATGACTGGCAGCGATAGAGAATGGTGAGACCGGTCAGTGGCGTTTGGTGGCTCGCGTGACGACGGCGTGTGCCCGCGGGGGCGTTCAATTTCGAATTCCTCGAATCGCGTGCGCTGCCGTGACTCAGGTTCGTGGTCCTCGAGGTGGATTCAAAGGAGGATGCAGCAACCGTTTTACCACGGTCCGCGTCCGACTCGGGTGCCGCGGGGTGATTTCGGACGGAGGAGAAGCGAGCGAGCCAGCGATCGAGCAAGGCCCGCGCCTTAAACGTCGACGGATCGGCCCCCGGGTATTTCTCACCCGCATACCTAGCTAACGTTCCCCTCTTCCTCTATCATCTGTCCCACGATTCCTCCACGTATCTCTCCCTCGTCTTCTCATTCCTTTCCGACTTCCGAATGTGGTTCTAAAGATATTAAGTCCCGCTCTCTCATTACGGATTTTATATACAAATGTTAACGTCGCATACCAGATGTTACTCTTCGTTCGTATAGAAACCTAGAGCCTAGCTAGAAGTAATACTTCTTTTAAGAGGATGGTCGGATAAACGACATTAGATGTATTGCATCCGTTAGAAGTTTGCAAGGAAAATTTTCTAACTGGCAGAAACCAATCCTACTTTCCTTGCAAATATCACTGCATTTTACTACCTACTATTGTATTTTATTCTCTTTGCATTTTCCATCTCACATATCTTTATGATTTCTTGAATGATTGGAAGGTAAATCTATGCAATGAATTTAATATATGAAGAAAATAGGGAAAGGGGAGAAGAGAGAAGAGCGTGTTGGCTGTATCGGCCCTGAGAGGTTCCCATGAGTCGGGGGCGGCAAGAAGGTAGTTGGAAAGTTATTCCTCGGCCACTCGAGGGCATCGGCGTTGCTCGGGATATTGGTGCGTGCAACCGTTCGCTTTCCAAGCGCGTTATTACCGGAGGAAGCCTTAATAATCGGTCCTGGACCGTTCCTTTTCTACGCTCCCCGATCTCTTCGACGCGAAAACGTTTGACCAATTACGTACGCACGCGTGTTTAAAATGTAACCGGGACCGTCTATTTCTTATTCTCAGTCTGTAAAAAATGTATCCATATCGTCCGAACAATATACGAAGGTGTCTCGCGCGTGTTTGTAGTAATTGTTGCAATATTATTTGCTCAAACTGGGAAAGAATAAAGTAATGAGAATAGACAACAATAAATCTTGCAGATGGAGGGTCACTTTATAATCCTGGAATTGATGACTCGATGTCAGTTGGGAAATAAATTTTTCCTCTTCTCTAAGCATTAGGAATCTATTCAAGTTTTCCGTATTACCATTTACGAGACACCCTGTATAATAAAAATTTTGCGATGAAAGACTTTAATCAGTAACTGTTTACTACTAGAGGCCTGAGTCATAAATACTGTTCAGGGTCAGGGTCCGTTTTCTTTAATAGGGATCCTAAAATTTTCTTAGGAAAGGTAAATCCTACCTCGCTTGCAGTACATTTTTTCAGCGTACATCTGTCCTTCCGAGCCATTAAAATACAAAGAATAGTAGAAATTATTTAAATCCGTAGAAGGGAAATATACATAAACACAGTAGAAAGTATACATGAAATGTATAAATGAAGTTTCATTTATTAATATAATTCCAATACGAGATTGTGAACAATTAGCACTAGTTTGCCGGATGTTTTATGCTGTCGAAATTTTATTTTAAAAAAGTTTTATTCCAAACAATTTTTACATATATATTCTATTTTTAAAATACATTTCCCGCAGATTTTTTTATTACACTTAGCACAGACGTTCTTATTTCTGTTTCTTTTGCATGATGCTTGAATTTCGAGCCTTGAACAGTGAGTAGAATTGACTCACTCCGGCAATCTAGAGTTAAAGTACGAATGGAAAATACGGGGCATCGATCATGGAAATGCAATACATATTAGTTTTTTCTTGTTACGTTTTGCTTGAGCGTCAGTCAGTCAGGTTTTGTTAGCCCAAATCTCGACTTCTAGACTGAATTTGTCACCTGTCACGGGGCCTTTGATAATAGATCAGACATTTCATCGGGCATAGACGCTGCTACGACCCTCGGAATTCCTCTCAGTAAAGTCGATCATCGCTTCAAGTCCGACGTACTGCGAATATCGTGAACAGGAACGCATACAAAGCTCGTAGTGTCCCAGATGCCAGCGTGATCGATACAGCCGCGCAGATGGCTAGGTGCGGAGAGCTTCCGAAGCGACAATTCTCGTTTCGCGACGAATTGGATAACCAGAAACGCGTTCCGTCGGTGAGATTTCCGGTTATCGCAGCCAGCGTAGCGCGGAAAGATAACCGCGGATTATCATACGCATGCATGGTGGCAAAGGAAGTTTAGCTTATAAAGCTGATTAAACCTTAGTTAATCAGAAGCGATCAGGGCAGTATGCCGCGATGGAACATAGCCGGCGGATCGTCGACTTGTCGAATCCGTTGGTTTCCTGATAAATGGCTCATCGAGCGGGCGGTCCCGCGCGGCAAACTTCACCGTCGTTCTACCTCCGTCTGTTTTCTGACTTCCGAATGATCCCGGCATAGCGATTGAATTCGAGGCTGCAGTCCGCGGATGCTTCGCATTCTCTTAATGTAGCTTCTAACCTAGGAAATGGAATTATTTCATTAAACTTCGAAATTATATTATTGGATACTTACAATTAAGGTCAAATTAAATTAATTTGTGTTTGAACTTAATTATATTTAATATAATTATCATTCCGCCAATTGTTAGACTGAAACAAAATTTTGAACCAAACCAACGAGCTAATCGTCAAATGCAATAAATCAAAACGAACCTGCTAAAAAATATAAAGAAAATAATGAAAGAAGAGATATGATAGAATCGACGTTGGATAATTTAGATGATTTAATTTTAAGAAGGGATGACCCCCGATTTCAAGTACCCACCCCTCAGGATTGGTCATTTTGTCAAGGATTACGCTCATAAAAATGATAAGATCATTTCCCATTCATTTATTTTTCCCCATATTTATAGTACATTATTCCACTTACAATTTTCCCATTTTTATAGTACATTACTGCGCTTAAATTTGAAACTGTCGAAAGCGATTTCAGGAAGAGATCTTCTTAAAAAGAAAGTGCGATGTTCTTCTTGTAAGTCTAAAAGCTTAAATAATAAGACATAATATCTAATAATACTTTAGATCTTATTGACATCGAAACGGTGTGTCCTCAAAGATCATTAAATTGCGCTAAATGGCTTAGTAATTAGACATTATAAAGAATTTGTGATAGTTAAATAATAAATTATCCTTATGTATTTTTTGTACTACAAATCATTAAAGCAATTGGAAACGTTCAATGTATTATGTGAAAAAATAGTATACGATGAAACATGAACTACATACGATGTACTTATATGAGATGCCGAGACGATAAGAGAGATGAAGAATGGATCTCAGGTGGGCAATCGTCTGAATTACCACACGTATCCAGTAGGTATTATATCGGAGAGCCAGCGTGACCTGCTGGCCCAATCGCGAGTTGCGCTGGAAGAAGAGAGAACATGGAAAGACAAGGAACGAACGAGCCGCTCGTCGAACAAACTCTTACGCGGTCTGCCCTCCTGGCACATCGGCGTAGCGCCGCAGCGCCACGCGTCACGGCGAGCGTGCACCGCAACGCGCGGCGCCTGTACGCCGGTCATCGCGACGCGGGTGCGCCGCGCCGCGTCGCTTCATCTCACGAGGAGACTTGAGACCCGACTCGGAACTTCGGAACTCGAACCTGCTCCTGAACCTCCTGAACTGAATGCACAGTGCGATGCGGCGCAGCGCCGCGCGATGCTTCGATCGTTTGGACTTGCGCCACTTGAATCTGTGCGCCATGTGTTCTTCGGTCTGTGCACAAACGCATGAATAAAATGAAATTGTATCCAAATAGCGTGAAAAAATGCGATTAATTTGTATCAAAATTGAAATAATGATTTCTCACAAAATCTACAGGTCGAAAAGACGTATCGCAGTTTTGTATTACATAAATGGTTTACACTCCCACGACTAATTCGGAAGATTGTATTAATACTTTCGCACTTCAAAAACTGTTGTATTAAAATTATAAAATCTCTATACTCTGTCATTCTTACAAACCATGTAATATCCCACTCGGGTCCTGCTTTGGATTTTTTTTGTTCTTCGACCATTCGTCTGGAAAATCTGGAAATCTACATTTCTATGTCTTCAGAGATCATTTTTTAGGGTACCGTCTTGTCCTTCAAAGGTACCGATTCTTCTTTTCCTGGTGTCTTGTGCACGTTAGGAAGATTACTGTTCTGAGCCTGCTCAGGATTGTTCCACTTTTGCAATTGGCCGGTACCGAACACTAAAAACGTTATAGCACCAAAGCTATAAATCGACGCCAGTATAAAAAAAATTGTACTCCAACTTTGATAGCTCTGATTCTTGTACGTTATGGATCCAACCATGTAGCTGCTTAGGAATCCTCCCAAAGAGCCGAGCGTATTCATTATACCGAAGATAGTACCAGAGAAGTTGGGCGCGATGTCCAAACTGTTCCCTAGGTAGCCAGCGGTTACTGCGCCGTTGATAGTTAAAGCGATCGTGAAGATTGAAACAGATACTACTCGATCGCATCCGTAATTCGCTTGGATGATCATCAACAGTCCTGGACTGAAGACAGCTACGACAGAATTAAATGAATGGGGAAGAGATCTGAAGAAGTGAGATAAGATAAGCAGGATAGAAAGAAAAGCCCAATTCGATCCATCAAATACGTAAATGCAGGTCGGACCATGGATATTAACTTCATCGAAGAAGAAAGAAATTAAGCTTGTTCTTCAGCGAGTTAAATATTTGTCAAACGAGACTTCAAGATATCTTACGACGTGCAACGACTGAGAAATCATGTATTATTTATTTACCAAAGCTGGTGAAGATCTTCCGGATGGCCGTTACTGACAGCCTCTTCGTTTTGAAGAGATAGTCAGCGACAGTGGATGTCGTCACCGCGAATATGTATTTGCCGAGGTACGGTAAGGAGGACAACAGTCCGTTCTATGGAAAATCAACAGACGCGATTGAATTCAATGAACGATACGAATACTAAGAAAATAAAAGTTGAAGAAGAAGTACCTGTTTTATGTTAAAATTCAAGATGTACTTCATGTAAGTCGGTAGTTGGTTGACAACGGTAAAGTATCCAAACACGTTGCACGAGTGAGTAATGACGATAGACCAAACGCGGACAGACAGCAAGATAGACTTCCACGGAACTGGTAATCGCTGTAGATAAAAACATACAATGATGCTTGACCAGGTACATACATATATTCTATATATATATCTATAGTATTGATTGTGGATCACCTTTGTCGTGGATGTTGTACCTATCGAATCTTCAATGTACCTACGCTCTTCAAGAGAGATTCTCGGATGTTGCGCCGGAGAATCAAATACTAAGAGGAACCAAGCTATACTCCACACAATCCCTATGGTCCCGGTTACATAGAATACTGATTCCCAACCGAAGGAGGCTATTAAAAACCCGCACATCGGCATCGTTAACGCTGCGCCAAGGGACGAAGCTAAAGCACATATTAGTAAAAACATGTATTGATAAATAAAAATATTACAATAATTCTTTTCTCTGCATCTGTTACATGGAAGATTATTCCTTTTGTACTAAAATATTAATAAGTACGTATGTGTACTTACTTACCCATCATGTTGGAGACGAATTTGCTACGTTCCGTAGGTGGTATCCATCGAGCGGTCATCGGTTGCATAGCAGGCCAAGTGGCTCCCTGGAGGGAGGATATACACAGGACATTGGTTTTAACACTTTCACAGTTTGCATTGAACCAAACTCGGATAGAGAAAAGGGAAATACCAGCAAGAATCCAAGTACGGTCCTCAAGACGGCGACCACATCATAGCCGTAAATCGCTGACAAGGGTGTCAGGAATGTGATAGCGCTCGACAGTAGCATACTGTACCCGAACACCCTCTTAGGCCCTACCACTTCCGCGAGCCTGCCACCTGGTAATTCAGTGCATATGTAACCCCAGAAGAAGCTACCTAATATAAGGTTCACCTGGTATTCGTTCCACGGATACCTTGTCTGAATTATATCTTCCTAATAAACAAACCGATAATTTAATCGTAGCGATCACTGAGGAAGAAAAGGTGAAAAGTGATGCTTTAAAACTTCTATAAATATTTTAATAATTCTGTGTTCAACGTACGCCGAGTTTCGGTGAACGATCGACCGAAGAGATCGTAGAGTTCGACGATTCATTATCAGCGATTGCCCGTTCGAAGCACTCGCTGGACGCGTTATGAACATTCGAGTCTGAAGTATCGTTGCCGCTCGGAATTACCATCGATACAATGGCGATCGTCAGGTTGACGCGTAACATGTAGTTCAGCATAAAACCGAGGATCACCATTATGTTTAACACTTGTCTGCATGTTATACGGCCTGAAAAAGTGTGGAAAATAGTCGATTGCATACTAATGTTATTAAACACTATTCAGTGGAATGGTATTCTACATAAGATTATATATTCTATTATTACATTGAATATATTGATATTACATTCGACCATATTTAATTGTTTGGTGTAATCTGATGCGCGAGAATGGGTTTTTAAATTCTTGCTATTTAATATCGATTCCGATACTGACATTGAAATACTTCTTTGGCGAAATTGCAACGGCAGCTTGTTATGCAGTTGTACGATAATAATCCGAGGGCCCGCACCCTTTTTCAATGTCTGTATTACGGATATCACACTGTAATTTCGTTAGTACTTGACCTCGTGATGTCGAAAAGGCATTTCTTACACCTGTCGGGTGGAACAACCCTTAATGAGGGGTGTATTTAAAAAAATGAGCTAACTATATTACGTTTGAAGAAAGTTTTATTATAAAGTTTTTATA